GAAGCCTAAAGTTGCTAAAAAAGATCTCATAAATTCACTACTACAAAATAATGTCTTCACTCATTGGTAACTAAATAAAACTGTAAAAATTGTTATAAACAACTTTTAAAAAAACGCATTATTATTTTCTAAACATCGACTTTCTAGTATTTTTAGAAGAAAATTTATCTATGAGACTTTCATAATAGATATTCTCAAGAATCTCTTTCTCAATCGAAATCAATGCTAAAGCGTTTAATCTCTCTTGAAACATGGTCGAACGCAAATAAGATTTTAAAAGCTTTAGTTTTGAAAAGCTTCTTTTCGCTGATGTAACTGTAATAGGAACAATCAATAATATTCTGCATGCTAGACAAGAAACTGGATAAGTGTTCTTCATTTTTAAGAAATTTAGTATTCTGTTAGCTGTATTGTGTTCAACCGGTAAATGTTTTTGTAACAACTCCAGTTCGTTGAATAAATCATCAGCATCAATGTCTGAGATATGACCATTTTGCAGCCTCTTTTCCAGATTTTTGCAACATGACTTTAGCTCACTAGTATTACTTCAACTTTTCTGTTGTGAATAAAAAACCATAAATGTCTTCGTATTGTTTGTATTGTTCAAACCTTCGCTCCAATGAAACAATATATTGATCAACTATGTACACAAAATATTGAATCCTAAATGACTCTTGAGGTGAAAGTTCCTGTACCGGCTTTGATGACCCAATGTCATTCTCATCAAAATGTCCTTTTTTTAGCAACTCTTATTTTATTATTTTTCTCAAGAAACACTGGATCAATATCCAAATCAGAAGCTATAGCTATTGCACAATCCAAAGCCTTCTCAAACCAATACATAAAAAAATAAACCAACAATAGTTTCATTATTCATTAACTTTAGACAAAATTACAAAAATGGTCCCTGTGGTATGCATTTTTTTGGGTTTTAGTCCAAACCTTGACTTTTTTGGATTGGTGGTCCTTTTGAGCTAGTTTACATGCAGTTTTGGTCCCTGTCTAAACTAAAAAGACTATTATACCCTTAATGAATTTAATTTTCATTTTTCTCACTTTTTAAAATTATTATTATTATTATTAAATATAAAACTAGGCCCACCTCCCTACCACTCCCTCCCTCCCTCTCTCTCTCTCTCACACACACACACACATACACACACACACTCTCTTTCTCTCTCTCCCTCTCTCTCTCTTCGTCCTCCCCCAGATCACCATAAAGAATCTACACACACTCCACGATACACACATATACATACACACACTCGACATATACAAGCAGTCGCCACTTGTTAGCCATCAATGACTCCGCTCGATCCTCCCACCATCGATTTCATTCAACAACGCATCAAAAGGAAGCTCGAAGATTTCAGACGATGACCGCTCCTCCTCTGACTTAGTCTGCGTCAGGATGAGAAGAAACGATCCTAACCCCGCCTTCTCTTCTTCTTCTACCTGATCCGGCGGTGGAAGGGCAACGATAGGTGGCTGTAGTTGGTGGCTGTGGGCAACCTTGCTGCTTAATTTCTGTTGGTGGATGCTCGACGAGGGACCAAGACGAAGCAGAAACGACGATGGCGTTTGGTGGTGGTGGGTTATGATAAGATGGAGGCGTTTGGTGGGTTTTGCCAACAGTCACAACTGTGGTGGGTGTTGTAGTAGGTTTTACCAACGGTGGTTGGTGAGGGAGTTATGGTGGCAGCTTCACTACCTTTGTTTCCTTTCTTTTCAGAAGAGCTCGACGAGAGAGAGGGCTGGGAGGAGCAAGGTTATGGTCTGGAGGTATTTGGGAAGGGTGTTTGCTGGTGGTGGGTCACGACATGGGGAGGTGGAGGAGGTGTTCGAAAAATTAAGTGGGTTAAGATGGTGGTGGTTGTTTCCTCCGATCAGTAGCAAGAAGGGGAAGAACATGGTGGTGTAGGGCGGTGCCTAACAGCTTGATCGATAGAAACAGTAAGGAATGGTGGTGGGGCTCGACCAAGACAGACGAGGATGGTTTTCGGTGGGGTTGTGGTGTTATATGGCGGCAGTCGTGGTGGTGAGCAGCCTAGACCGGTGTTACAATCACGGGTGCTTTCTTTCTTCAAATAGTGAGATACGAGAGAGAGAGAGAGAGAGAGAGAGAGAGAGAGAGAGAGAAAGAGAAATAGAGAGAGAAATAGAGAGGGGGTGGGGGGAGAGATAGGTGGGTCCAACAATTTTTATTAATAAAACTTTACATTAAATAGAAAAAAGCATAGAAATGTATCAGAAGGGTATTTTTGTCTTTTTAATTTTACAAAGGACCAAAACCACAAACAAAGTAGCTCAAAAGGATTGTCAATCCAAAAAAATCGGGGTTTGGACCAAAACCCCAAAAAAATGCATACCACAGGGACCATTTTTGCAATTTTGTCTTAACTTTATGGAGCATTAACACAAAGAGATGACAGAAAGCAAAGCACTGCAATCAAGCGACAAGGATGGTTGAAAAATTAAAAGAGATGAAATACTAACCTTAATTTGTAGTAAGCAATCAATGAGATATTCAGAACAGCAAAAGCCAAAATACGAGAGACGAGTAACAATTACTAGGTTTGGTAGGGTCTGATTTTTTTCTTACTTTTTGGTGAGTTTATAAAGTATAAAAACGTTGTCTAAAACTTATAAAGAAAACAGATTTGCATTTTTTTATATAGATATTTTCCTTAAATTGTTGATAAATTTTAAATTTATGATTAGATTTTGATTTTTGTTGATTTTTTTTTTTTTTTTTAATAATTAAAATGTATCTAAAATTGGAACCAAATATTACTAGGCTAATTTTATTTATTGATAAAACATAAAAATAAATTTTACAAGAATACCAATACTATAACTAAATTATCCCAAAAATCAGAGGCCCCCGAAGATCGGAGGTCTGGTGCGACCGCACCACCTGCACCACCCAAGGCCGTCACCACTCACAATGTAATAATTATATTCTATAATGTGTTTCCTAATAATATCGAACAATTCCACCTTAAAGAGATTTACATTATAGAAGTAGTTAACAAGGATTAGGTACCCCAAATGTGAATTTGAAGGTCAAGTAGAATATGAGTTAAGTTTGGAAAGATTAGAATTCCTTAGAAAAAGATAATGTAAAAGATTTGCACGTCTATAACACTTTAGCATATGTATAAAAGCTTATGAGTAAAAAAAGTATTATCATTATTAATTATTATCAATAAGATAAAACTTTACTTTTGGTATTTGGAAGCAAGCTAATTTGGAAATTTCGATCTATTTAGGGTAAATGAGCTTTATATGAGTAATTTTAAAATTTTAGGGGTAAATTGACTTAGTTAATCAACCATAAGTTTGTTTGGAATGACAACTCTTCCTTGTTGTGGAAATGTAAGAATTTAAAATTTTAAAAAAGCGAAACTTAATGGAAATGATTATGCTAGTTGATTAAAATTAAGTTGGAACATTGAATTGGAATATTTAGTCGAGAACTAGTAAAAATAAGCATTCAACACATAAAAAGTGGTTAGACTTAAGTATGATGTGAAATTCAAAGTTTGATTAAATTGATAGAATATGACAATCAAATTGATAGAATATGACATTTAGGTTTCTTTGTGATTATGCAGACAAAATCATTTTAAGGGAAGATAATTGACAAAATCATTTTAAGGATAGATAATTATAACATCCTCATTTAGAGAAATTTTGTATGATGTTTACTTAGCTGAGATGGACTTAAATGTTATGAAAACTAATAGTTAGACGTTAAACTCAAATTCTCTAAGTTGGAAATATTTATGAAAGTTATTATGGGAAATTTAAGTATTAGGGATCAAACTTGCCAAATTTGCTAAATATAAGTTTGACATGGTATGACTTAATTTATAAACAAAAATGTTACGTGTTTGGTTAAATGCGGTTTATATTGGAATAATGGAAACTTTGACTAGTTTTTAGACTTAAATGGTGATCACTTTAGAGAAAATTGATTTCAGAGGTTAATGTGTAAATTTTATCGCTAGATTATCATTTCTAGTAAATGGTTCTCCTACAAAAGAATTCGAAATGAAAAAAGATGTAAGGCAGGGAGACCCATTGTCTCAGTTTCTGTTTATAATAGCAATGGAAGGCCTGAAAATTGCTATGAAGGCGGCTTGCCAGAAGGAGATATTTCAATGGATCAAAATTCCAAACTCTGAAACAACCATTTCGCTCTATTATATGCCGATGATGCCCTCTTTGTGGGTGAGTGGAGTCAAGACAATATTAAGAATCTAGCAAGAGTGTTGAGATGTTTTCAAGTGGCATCGGGATTGAAAGTCAATTTTAATAAATCAAGGGTTTTTGGCATTGGAGTTGATATGCATGAGGTCTCACGAGGAGCTGCCCCACTAGGTTGCAATCCGACTTCACTACCTTTTACGTATCTCGGAGTGCCTGTGGGGGCTAACATGAAGTTTAAGAAGCATTGGAAACCCGTAATTGATCGATTTTATGCAAAACTTTCTCCATGGAAAGCAAAATCACTTTCTTTTGGGGGCAGATTAACCCTCACTAAGGCTATCCTTGGCAGCCTTCCTTCGTATTTCATGTCTAAATTTGTGACTCCTACGGGAGTCTTGAAAATGTTGGAAAAAAAATGAAGGCAATTTCTGGGGGGGGGGGGGGGAGTTGAAAATAAGTACAAAATACCATGGGTATCATGGGGAAAAGTTGTTACATCGAAGGAGAATGGGGGATTGGGATTAGGGTCTCTCCGTGATTTTAACCTTGCGATGATAGTTAAATGGTGGTGGGGATTGAAGATCAATAAATCAGCATTATGGAGAAGGGTAATAATGGGAATTCATAATTTATATAACAAACCAATGATGACACTCTCAAAGAAAACTATCCCAGGTGTTTGGAGTAACATTGCAGGGGTAATACAGGAATTAAATAATGCAGTAATCACCTTTGATGATTTTTTGCAGAAACAGGTCAGAGAAGGCGAAGATACTCTTTTCTGGATGGACTCATGGTGTGATGGAGGACCCTTTAGAGACAGGTTCCAAGAATTGTATCAATTAGAGAGACGAAAATCATGTACAGTCAAGGAAAGGATACACGATGAAGGTCAAAAGTGGGACTGGAGATCGACCCCTACAACTGATGAACAAATAAGAAGCCTTCATATGCTATCAAATGTCATAGGAGGATTCTGCCCGACTGCTGGTGCTGATACATGGAAGTGTGCGTTGACGGTTGATGGTAACTACCATGTAGGCGTTATCAGATCCAAATTAGACAACATGGAACCGGTGAGTAATGAAGTGATTATTCCTTGGATACACGAAATCCCAATAAAGGTTTCAACTTTCGTGTGGAGAGAAAATCTTGGTTGAATTCCGTCCAACAATGCACTAAACAGGAGGGGGTGTCAGGGATAAAAGATAGATGTCCGTGGTGTTCATAGGAAATTGAAGATGCTGCATATATTTTGCTCCGTTGTCCTATGACAGCTATTGTTTGGGAGATGGTGTTTAAATGGTGTGCGATCCCTCACCCTCAGTTTCTTGTTATTAGAGATCTCATCAGTTTTGCTAAAAAGTGGGGCAGATGTAAGAAAAGGAGGAACAATCTTATTAGTGTATGTTATGGTACGATATGGCTACTATGGAAAGCAAGATGTGACCTGAAGTTCAAGAATGTACGCACCTCCCCGCACAGGATCCTTGATGGAGTTAAATCCATAGTGCACTCTTGGCTAAAGCATAGGAGAACCAGTTGTAATTATGAGTGGACTGAATGGTGCTCATCTCCACTAAGTTGTGGGTGAGATAGTTATTATGTATGGAATATAAGTGTAACTTCTCCGCCTAGTAACTTGCTAGGCGGTGGGCTTCTTTAATAAAATTGTCGGTTCAAAAAAATAATAATGTGTAAATAAACAAGTATATAAGGTAGTTATTATTTTTCTTTCATCCATACAAGAACAACCATGTAAGAAGCCTAGAATAGGTGTTTTTTTAATGTGCACTGGAGATTTAAAGCTCATTTTTTTAATGAAGATTTAGCTAATGTTTCATCATTTTCTAGCTTTGAAGGTAGTTTTATCCGTTAATATCTTCAATTTCATTTCTAGGACTTTGAGTTGTGTCTTCAAATCCTAAATTCAAGCTTGATTGTAGAGTTTAATGAAGTTACAAACTTCTATTTTCTTTCCATATTCATTCTCCAAGCAACAACTTTACGCATTGGATGCTTAATTATAGTTTTAATGGAGTTTTGTAGGATTTCCAATCATAACCCCCTTATAATTCGAATCTCATTAATTGAATTGAGAAATTATCTAGTTTTTAGTTTATATCAAGTTATTTTGTGTGATATCCTATTTTTATAGTTAGAAAAGACATTTTTATTTATGTTTATTTTAAAACAAAATTTATATATAAATGCAAAATTTGTTCCATAAAAAGTATTTCAAGAAAAATGTTTTTCGACGATTATTAAAAACTTTGGAATGTCATATTGATACAAAAAACACAAGTATAAACATTATCATTACTGGCCTTACAATATCTAATGGCCTACATTTCATTTAATCTGTCATCAGATCCTAACATCAAATATTTTCATATCGATACCTATGATATAAAAAAATTAAATATGTTAGGTTGGGAAACCTGGTGAGTACATATGTTTTTCAACCCACAATAATATACTTTCTCCGTCCCAAAATTATTATTCACAGACAAAAAACACACATATTAATAAAACATTAATTACTACTAACTTTGTTAAATGAAATGACATTCTTACCCTTTTATTGCATTTAATTCCATGGTAGTTGCATTGAGTTTCATGGTAGTTTAACTAATAATGAGGGGTATTTTTGGTAAAAGGGGAATTTATTTTTAGAAGTAAACTATTATTTTGGGAGAAACCAAAAAGGAAACATGGACTATTATTATGTGACAGAGGGAGTAGTTAATTTGTTTAATTATCAAATAGTTAGCCCTGATTACCTATTCTTATTTTTCTTCTATATTTATTTCTACAAAACTAATCCTAAAGATCATCGCCAACATCACATTTTCTTATATTTTCATTGCTAAGGACCTCTCCTAAGGATCATCGCCTAACATCTCATAGATAGTACTGTTTTGCAATACATGTCTATAAGGGGTAGAGTATGTCGCATGAACATATAGTTCATCACTTACATGTTTTGAGTTTGCCAGTGTTCCACTAGACCGTTAGAGTGGTCCGTGGTTTCTATCTATACTTCGTTAGATGACTACATCGTAATCATCACGAGTAAAAGTCATGACATCTCCTAACCATCTCTCTTCTCTCATCACTACCCGATATATATATATATATATATATATATATATATATATATATATATATATATATATATATATATAAGTATGAAAATACTTATATAATTAAATCAAGTGAAATCATGTTATATAGGTTCATCCAACACAAATCGCAGATAATAGGCACATATAACATTTAATTATCCAAATACTTCATTTCTATGTGTAAGGTGAAAGTAACTATGCATTCACTTGTTAAAAGTGGATGACTAATGAATTCGGCAGCGCTTCGCCTAACACTATGGTTTTTCTTTTAATGTGACCTAGGTATGAATATTACTAAGTCTTAATCTTATATTCCTGGTGACTAATGATATTAATCCTAATGTCTACATCAAGATTTATCAAGTAAGGAATCTCCAGGTAGGTTCATATTGAAGGTAGGGTCTGATTTAGACTGTAAAGCACAGGTAGTTTCTTTTAGATCTTTGGACAAGCATAACTTTCACATACGATCTCCGTTTTCAACATTCTTTATATCCCCAGAATACTCTCGACGAGCTCTACAACTTTCATTAAGTTCTCAATAACTAATTAACACTCTAACTAAAATTCATTCTTAGACAGATTTAGACTGTTAAAGTCTGTGTGAAATTCATAAATCCTTTGTACGAACTGTGTTCTTAACTGTCTTTATATCAACGGGTTCATATTCATGATATCTTTAGTTCACGTCTACTTGTTTCAGATAATAATCAACCTATTTGAATTTCGATTTATGTTTTCGTACTACTACTCTGAAACTTCAAAAAATCACAACTTCCTCATAGTCAAATTTGGACGTTCTCCATATGCACGGTTTTCTGATTACTATGACTTTTGTTTAGATTGATTAGGCTAATAAGCAACCTATCAAAATTCACTTTTTACAACGTGTGCAGTCGTGTTAGTTTAATCACGAAATTACGAAGAAGCATAAGTTCTTCATACGAAGTTGGATTTCAGAGTTCTTTATATGTATTGAATCCTTATTACCTATACTATAACATTATCTAAGGTTATTTTTCCTAAATAACCATCTATCAAAATTTCATTTTTATTGCTTATTCTATCTTAATTGTCTAGTCCAAAGTTGCGGGTGTTACATTTTGTCATCAATGTATGTTAGAATATGAAATCATACTTAAGTTTGTGTTTAAAGAGGTCAATGATGGTTTGGAGTTTCTAACAATCGTCCATGGTAACAAGGATCAATGTTTGAACTTAATTCTCTTATTATCATCATCATATAATTTCATTTTTTAAAGTGATTTGGTCATATGGAAGTTAATAGGAAGAATTCTAATGGTTATTGAAAAGTATGTTGTTATTTTAGGTATCATGTTTCATTTGAGGTTGCTAGTTTTTGGAAGTGAAGATCATTTGGTCATGATCTTCGATTTGTGATGATTAATACTTGTAATTAATATTATCGGTTGTTAAATCAAGTTAGGGTATGTATAAGGTCATTAAAAGTCATAAGTGATGGGTTTTGAGCACTACAACATTCTTATGGTGTACATGCAACCCTAATGCTTTGGATCTAGGTTTTTCTCAAGTTATACATGCAATACTAATCATCCAAAGTATGAACCCTAACTAGCATACAATATTTCAAAATTGACAACTAATACAAAGTTAAATTAATACCTTTTTTTTATAACTTGATTAACCTTGACCTTCAAAAGCTTAGTGCCTCAAATATTGCACCTTAAATGGATCACAAACACCAAGTAACAATGGAGAATTATGAGAGAGAGGTGAGAGGCTCCTAAAATCGGTTAGGGTATTCTCTTAAATGAATATGGAAGATTTCTAGTGCCTTAGGGGTCCTTTTATAGTTGAACTCCTTAGGGTTATCTACTTGGAAACCCTAATTACCTTGCTTAGGCCTTAAGCAACTTATGGATCTTTCCAGAAGGCCCTTGTATGGATGAAATCTATGTGGGCTATATATAAAAATCGTCCACCCCTTCCATAAGGAGCCACAAGCCCAACTTGCAACTATTATATAATTGCAATACCAGTCCCCTTGATTTAATTAGTCACTTTTGATCAAAAAATTAATTCCAAATTAATTTATGATCAATACTAATTAAATAATATGATTTCTCAAATAATATATTATTCTTATAACATATTAATAAATCACAATTAACCTCTTTCTCCATAATTCATCCTATCAAATTGCTATGGTGAAGGCAACCCAAAAAGGACCATGCTACTATCAGGTCAAGTACATACCAATTATAGTTATGGGCTTAGACACCTAATCTAATAGTCTCCCACTTGGATAAGTCTAATAACTATAATTGCAATTACAACTTCAAAATCCGATTAGCAATTGTAGCTCTCAAAAGCCATTGTCGAACTCTGACCTAGTCAATGACGTGTCCTTTAGATAAGGGATCATGTAGTCCTCCATTCTCAAGATATCGTGTAGACAAAGACATGGAATAAAGTCATACTCATTGTCCAATAGTTTGTTTGCCGATTTCTAATTTGTTTGACATAGAACTTAATTGAGCACATCAATTTAGTCCTGACCGGGCCTAACACATAAGTCAACAAAAAATCATCGAGGGGCCTAAGATATCGATTTTAATCCTCTTAGGATAAAAGCAACAGATAAACTTTGACTTATAAGATTGTGCAATTTACTTATTAAATCATACACAACAATACGTTCTATAACATTAAGTTATTGATGCGTTTACGCACTATCAATGCACAACCAACTTGTAAACAACAACTCATATATCTCGGTTTAAAGACTATATGATATTATCGTCTCACAATCACTCGTGATAAATTCCATTAAGTGATTCATATGAGCGTGGATTTAATCCAAATCCAATACTCAAATCTTATTTCAATAATACTCATGAACGTTGCATCAAACTTTTTCTATGTCTAAATGCTTAGACAATCTACAAACCAATTCATGACAATCTAACCTTATAGTCTACCTCCAAAGTATGATCGACTTGGATAATTCGAATAATTCTATTATTCTGGAAGTCAAAACATGAAAAAGT